ATTTGATGGCCCTGAAAAGGGCCGTTGGTCTATGAAGCAGTTTAAGCTCGCTCTCCTCGAATCGCAATACGAGAGAAGTTGAATGTCCTTGGGCATGATGGTTACTCGTTTAGCGTGGATGGCGCACAAGTTGGTATCTTCGAAAAGACCAACGAGATATGCTCGCTGGCTTCTTGACGAGCCATCACAGCTGAGCTCTGGAATCTCAAGTCAGTTTGAAGTCCTGAGCGATTTCACGAACAGCGTTGGAATGGCAATTTCGGATGAGTAATCAGTACTTTTCTGGTAGCGGAATTTCTCGTAGAGCACAGTTCCAGGTCGGTAACGATGAGGGCTTCTTAACACCTCCAGTTGCAGGCGCACTCTTACGAGCTGCCTTGGTAGCGAGTTGTTTTCGAGGAGCTTTACCTCCAGTCGATTTGCGAGCAGTCTGCTTGGTACGAGCCATTGCTTGTAGGATTCTTTTAACGTGGTTAGGTTAGCGACGTCAACACAGAAATATAACTGACGAGGGTCTGGCCGGTCGTTTATATACTTCTCAAACACACTACCACGTGATGGCTAGTGTAGTAGAGAGGGGCGATCGACTTTGTGGAAAGCGATTGGTGGTTCGCATGTAGTAGGGATAATGTCGTGAATGCTATATAAACCCTCCGACATTGAGTTTCGTCATCTATCTCGATTTGAAGTTTCTGTTGCTCTCATATTTAAACTGCATCATCATGGACTGGTCGTGGTAAGGGAGGAAAAGCTCCTCGAAAACAACTCGCTACCAAGGCAGCTCGTAAGAGTGCGCCTGCAACTGGAGGTGTTAAGAAGCCTCATCGTTACCGACCTGGAACTGTTGCTCTACGAGAAATTCGTCGCTACCAGAAAAGTACTGAGTTACTCATCCGTAAATTGCCATTCCAACGGCTTGTTCGTGAAATCGCTCAGGACTTCAAGACTGACTTGAGATTCCAGAGCTCAGCTGTGATGGCTCTTCAAGAAGCCAGCGAAGCATATCTCGTTGGTCTTTTCGAAGATACCAACTTGTGCGCCATCCACGCTAAACGAGTAACCATCATGCCCAAGGACATTCAACTTGCTCGTCGTATTCGAGGAGAGCGAGCTTAAACTGCTTCATAGACCAACGGCCCTTTTCAGGGCCATCAAATTTTCAAACAAGAAACAATCAGTTTTCAATACATGCCACAATTATTTCTTAATATAATTGACATTCCCATGTCTGTTAATGGATGTACCTAGTCATTAACATGTTTAATAATTATTTACTTTTTATACAATAGTTTTTATAACTGATTAAACTTAGAGTAAATGAATTTTCGTTAAATAACTTTAAATTGCGTCGATTTAAATAATAGTTGCTCAATAAAAGACAATATACTGATTCAGCATGTCTTGCATTACTTAAGAAAAATCGATTACACATAGAATAAGTATGCAAGTATTTCCATTCAATATAAATATCTTTCAAAATGTTTAAAACTTAATCTTAATATTTTTCGAAAATAAATATGTTAGTACTTTGGACACCTATAATAATATAATAAAGGACTTATTTCAAATATAATATTAATTAGACTTTAAAACATGGTAATTTCTAATTTAGATGCACCAAGTAGCCAACAATTGAATGTATTACTTTCCAGTCACCACGCAAGAGAATTTATTGGCCCTGAAAAGGGCCGATGATCAATAATTTCTTCCTAATTGTTAACAGCATCTGTATGTCGTTCTATAGCTTCTGCCACGTCTTTGGCAGTAATACGTCGTTGTTCACGTCCCCCTGTAATTGTAAGCTCTCGCACAACACTGTGAAGGAGGTCCTTTAATTGAGTGCGTAGTTTTTTGACTCGTCGTGCTTCAGATTGTTGATGTATCGCTGTACTTATTAAAGGCAATTCTCTCTTAACATCTTGATACTTCAAATCTGTTTCCATGCAATCAGTTTTATTGTCCTGAGAATTAGTGACAATCTGTTCACTATGAAGGTGGATTTCAGTAACTCTCTTTTCCTTTACTTTAGTTTTTATTAACTCCTTGGTTGTTCCGATACGTTTTATGACTGATTTAGTAGATTTTCGTGTTAATATAGTTTTAGTGATTACCTGACGATTCTTTTCTTCTGACATGATGGTTCGTCTTAACTTGTCAGAATTGAAGAAGAATTGTCATTCTAAATGACTTCTTAGGAGTCGGTCACCTCGGTTATAAACCCTACGACCCTCCTCTCTACTCCTACTACCTGATGTTGCCAAGTTTGCATCCAATCAGGTACATGCAAATAGAACTAATAATGAAATATTCCTCAAATTTTACGATGGGCCACATTTTCAATAAATTTAAATGAAAAATATTTGCTGTATGTACTAATTATAATTTCATATCGTAAAATGATGCTTAAAACACTGTATAATTGATATGATTTATGACTCTTCTTTAAATACATAAGTAAATATGTGAATATATATTAAATAATATTTATTCTAATTGTATATAAACAAATTTTAAATGATTATTAAATGTTTCCTATTTTATTCTCGGTGCAATATGTATAGTATTCATCTGATTGTCTTACTGTAATCAAATTAAAGATTCATTTAGTCATGAATGAATTATACATTATGCTAATTTTTTTTTTCTATATATTGTTAAATTTTTCTTGTTCAATATCATGACTTAAAAGCGTTGAAAATTGATATGCAACATTTTTATGATTAATAATATACTTCGTTTTCCATTTATTATTGGGAGCTATGAGATGTAGGATTATTAACAAATCATGGCATTAATGTCAACGGAAACATCGATACATGTATGATCAGTAAAGGTAATTATCTCGATATGAATGAAAAATAAGATTGTTGTGGTGTTTTTGTTGCATTGAATTGAGAAAATTTAGGGAAATAAATTATAAGGCAATATTATCAATGATGATTATTTTTTACGCAGAAAAATGTCTGATACCAAAGTACTGTGTGTCGGTGTCAATTAAAATATTAATTTATGTCCCTAATTATGGATATTATACAAATTGTAATTGATTATATTAAAGATATGACTTTTCCATCATTTTACATTCATTTTTTTATGCAAATTTTTCCATAGAATAATAGTTAATAATAATAGTTTGTTGAGAAACATCAATCAGTCATAAATTGCTCTCACAATTAATTGGAAAAAAACCTTATAATTATGTGAGTAGCGTCGGACATGCGAGCATTTATTCAATTAACATACTTTTATGTAGTTATTTCTATAATTATTTATAAAATTATGGCAAATGTTTATTTGCAATCGACAAATAATTCATTAAAAACTAATACTAGATGTTGGAAAGTGTCGGAGCGCTGGTGTCGAAAGTGAGCATAGACGCTCTTCATGGTCCGTGCGCAATCATCACCTCAACGCCGTCTATAACCCTACCAACTTTTTTACCAGAGTGATACTCAGTAGAATACTCCGAGCGACATTGTTTGATATTTATCGACGAAGATGACTGAAAAGACAACCACCGTTGTTGCTACTCCAGCAACTGAAGAGAAGTCTCCTGCTAAAGCAGCTTCACCGAAGAAAGTTGCAGCACCGAAGGCGAAGAATCCTAATCCTAAAGCGAAGACTCATCCAAGTACTTCATCAATGGTGAAAGCAGCTATCAAAACTTTGGCTGAACGTAATGGATCATCCCTCCAGGCCATCAAGAAGTACATCGCTGCTACATACAAGTTGGATGCCGAGAAACATTCTCCATTCATCAAGAAGTTCCTGAAATCCGCTGTTACCGACGGTTCATTGATTCAAGTGAAAGGTAAAGGCGCCAATGGATCATTCAAGCTTCCATCAGTCAAAGCTACTGCCGCAAAACCCAAACCTAAAGCTGCTACTGTGAAGAAGACTCCAGCTGCTAAGAAACCTGTTGCAGCAAAGAAACCTGCCGCCAAGAAAACTGAAGATGGAAAACCAGCACCCAAGAAAGCAGCTCCTAAGAAGGCAACCAAGGCAGCAGCAGAAAAGAAATCAGTTAAAGCTGTTACTAAGGAAGCTAAAGCCAAAACCACATCATCTCCAAAGGCTAAAAAAGCTACCAAAGCACCACCAACTGCAAAACCCAAGGCTCCCAAACCCAAGAAAGTCACTACTCCCAAAGCAGCTAAACCAGCTAAAAAAGTTACTGCTAAGAAATAAATCTATTCAACACATCTGTTTAATCAACAATAAACCGGCCCTTTTCAGGGCCAAACAATTTATTCAAAACGTTGAAACTTTAAAGTTTCTAGCAATACACATTCCTTATTGAATCAAGTTAAATGACAATACGTTGACATCTCCTGTTATATTAACAAAATCGTTCTTTATTTCATAATTTGACATTTTTTTTATTCCGAGATTCGATTGTAATAATGAGATACTCCATTGTTACTCAATTATTGTTATAATAGATTTACAAATTTTCCTACAATTATTTTCTATTATAAATGTCAAAGTCACATAGTTCCACATTAATGACTATACCTCCACTTACTTTTTTTTAGTAAGTCATCATTAATGACAGATTATTAGATGAATGACAAAATGATCGTAAGACATTTGTATAAACTTACAATCAATGTATATTATATATTATGTTAGTATGACTGATAATCAAATAGCTCTGATTAAAAAAGTATTAACAATTAATTACTTCTCCAATAATGAGTTCTATTCTAATCTATCTATATAAATACTTTATGATCATGTTATATTATCTTGAGTATTTAAATCAACTCAATAAGAATTAGAACATGATCTTTCTTCTAACAAACGTCATATAAATCATTCTTGATAAAAAAAAAACCTTTTTTGGACTATTTTTAATGAGAAATTATTGATGTTATATATTTTTACTTATGTAAAGATTATATCGAGTAAACCGTAGGTTAGTTGACCATGTGCTTGAACATTATTAATAATAAATAAATAAATAAACTAACAAGTTTGTTGTTGAAAATTATTATTATATGAATATTACATACATTTAATTAATAAGTTTTCTGTTATAAATCTTTATTTATAATTTATTCAAACATCTTTCATATTTTTTAATATTTCAATTTTATTCACTAATAGAACATTTTTTCTAAAACAATTCAATATGTCCAAGTGAATCCAGTTCCTGTCATCGGTCGTCTTCTTACTATGATTCTAGTATTACCTGGACCCGATCCATAATTAAAATCTAATGGAAACGCAACTCCTGTTTCTCCATTATTATTCCCCACTAAGTAACCGTTGTTATTTGGTTGACCATACCACGTTGTAGTAGGAGTATTTTGTGTTGCTTTGTCTAGAGTGAACATAAATAAATCTGACTTGTCCACAATCTGTCCGTATAGGATTTGATTGGATCCCATGTTTTGTAAATCAATAGTAAATTCCTCGAAATTAGACCTCACTGAGACATGTTGGAATTGGAGGTGTGCTAGATCCGAGTATTTGGTATTTGTCTTAGGAATGAATCGATTGATGTTCTTCCCTGGAATAATAGGTCTTTTGTTCCTTCCTCTATTTGTATTTATATTCGTGGTGTCATCAAAATTATATCCATTCGGATTGAAAGAACCAGTATCACCTAGATTATAAGTATCATCAATATCAACTCCAGGTCCAGGTGTTCGCATCGTCGTCTGATATGAGTCAGGAACATTGAATAAACATGAAGGATTGGTTCTGGATTAATAATGAAAAAGATTAATATTTCATTGTTTTTTCATATAAAAAAATCTAATGATTCGTATCAAGAATATTGATATTTTAAACAATAAATTACCTCAAAAATTGACGAAAGCCATTTATTGAACATTGAGACCATGTTATCCTTTTTGAATTCCTATCAACAGAGCTAACAGCTGACATTATGAATTCTTGTGAGGTGCATCCCAGGTTGTCATCATGGTCAACACCTAGCCTTTAAATTAAAAGATAATAGTAAATCAATATATCCAAATATTATCACTAAGTATCCGTATAAAAAAATTTCGTTCCCCGAAGGTTCCCCATAGTCTCACAAGTTCAATCATTCTGAATTATATTCTGATTTCGCTACATCTGGTTTGAATTTGAAATAGTTTAGTTGGTCGATTGGAATTTGAACATACGGAATAAATCATAGATTATAAAAGTTGCAATATTTTTACAATAATTTACTCACATATGTCCTAATTCATGAGCTGCAGTATAAATAAATCCATAATTATTATCATCATATACAACTGACGTTTTCACTACGCCTTGTCCCGGATATGCTTTACATGCACTCGCCAAATTTGCTAAGCCAACTTGATGAGCTATACTTGGTCCATAACTGGATGAACTTAAGCTGAGAAGACAAATAATTAAAATTGGTATGTTTGGATCTTAAACGTTTCATAAATTGACTCAAGAATTATTTTATCTTCAAAAAATCAATTAATTATAAAAAATACTTACAATGTATGAACCATAGCAACATCATAACTTTCTATAGGAATGATGTTGTTGTTGTTGTACAACCATACTCCCATGGCATTTAATGCATTTTGGAAGTTTAGATTGGTACGAGACGAATGTAAACTAATAAATTGAAATGCATTGCGGTCCTGGAAAGCATAAATAAATTAGTATTAATTATTGACATTTAATTGCAATAAGTCTAATTCTGTCAATAAATCCAACCCAAACAAACTAAGCAAGACATGACTGGGTTATGGCTGAATAATAACACCATTTGATCATGGCCCTATTATTCATTCTTGTACAGGAATGTGCTGAATATGTCATTTTCAAGAAATCATCTGATCATGTCAATTGATCAAGAAACATACTTCTGATGAGCACATTAGACATACTTTATAGATGGATCTAGTCAATAATTTCCAATTGTTTATGTTTATGATTTTCTATACTCACTTCAGCAACAGCAATACCAGCGATGCTGAGTTTGTATTGCGGCCCAGACAAGTATTTATATTTTTGATTAACAGAAGTCCAAAAATTCAGAATGTAATTTTTAAATATATTAAAATTATAATCATATTTTTCATATAATGATGCGTCAACCATCACTAAGATTTCTGGATAAATGACATCAGGTATTGTTACTGATGAAACAATTGGTGCAGTCACTGAACTTCTGATAGCTGTAAAAAAAAAAGAACAAATATTACTTTCGCTGTAACTTAGATCCATGACAGTGAATTACCAGTTATAAAGAATACAATAAGTAATTAATACATACGTGGTTGACCACCATGAAGGAAGAAATTTACAAGTCTGACAATGTAAGGAGTTCGCTGATTAGCATTTTGATGATTTGGTGCTCGATGAATAGAGATATTTCGTGATTCAATGATACCAGACTATACGAAAAGAGAAATGGGATTGAATATTTTATCGATAATTCTTTAAATTATATCTATTATTTATAAAAATAAAAATCTAGTGTATTACATGGATGTATTTGTTGCCATCAGCATCAACGTTAACCACCATGGATGCTCGTTGATCCTCATCTTCATAAATATTGAATGAAATATCTCTGAATGGCTAAAATAAAGAATATTTTTGGATTAACATTCTAGAAGATTCATTATATAGGAAGAAGAATAAGATGAATAATGAAATGAAAAGTCACATTAATCTTATCATCTTCATTCTATACGTTTAAAGCAAATCATGAAATTTATTGTAACTCGCATAAAATATTTCGTTCCTCAAAAGTTCCCTATGAAGTAAATATCTCATGTTCTTGCCGTGAGATTGAAGAGTACTTTTTAAGGAAATCACAAATTTTATGAGTAAGAATAAATGCAATTTACTGACGAAACCTTTAAAGAGCAGCTCGATTCTTCGAGAAGACATTCAGTCAAAGTTCGGTAGATAAATCAAAAATAAAAAAACAATTAAAGTTCCCTGAATATTTCTTTTTCTAAATGTGTTTTTCAATACGTACAGTGCTTCTTCCAGTATAAACTTGGCCGTTTCTTGTACGAAAGGTATAGACAGGTGTATTCGGTCCAACAATCGGAGCAGCTACTTTTAAATTCAAGTTGACATTTCCTTGTGCAAGTGGTACAATGATAGGAATGGATTCATCGAATGATCTTTTATGTACTTTTGGCCATTCGACGTCTATGATTTCGAATTCCGGAACTGTAAATGGATTCAAAATGATTAATATTTATCATAAGAAGGTTTCGATTGATTGTTCGTTTAATATACCCACCATGGTCTACATCATCTGTATTGAATATCTCTTGGCGTTCTTGGGGCGTCAAGGATTTGAAATACTGAATAAAATTTTGAATTAATTATTGTATCAGTCAGAGTTGAACGATGAATGATATTTCAAAAATGAGATAATCAAAAGAAAATTTCTTAAAATGTATTATGATATTCTGACATGTTAAATTGCTGTAAATGAATTATTGTACTTACTTGGACTTTGTCTATATTATCTACAGCAAAGACCAGTTTCAGCAATACTAGGACTACCGCTAGTTTAGCTTGAAGAATTCCTGAAACAAATTCTAATAATAAATTATCATCGAAAATATATCATCCAGTGGCTGGAGTTGTATTTTCATCATATACATGCTAAGAATGAGCTCGTTTTATTTCTTATTCTAATAAGGAAAAACAAGTGGTTTCTTAACTTACCCAGCATTTTATCACAGATACAAATTTCTCTTCAACAGATCAAGAAACAATGATGGATCGTCTTGAGAAAAAGCATGTATTTATATTGAGTATGATCGACTTTTATTTAAATTAGGGCTTTATCATAATGAAAATTAACAGATAACATTAATTTCACTTCACTATTGATAATTACTTTATCTATGAGGAAGTGATCTATACAGCTATCAAAATACAGCCATTGACGTTATTCATGAAATCGCATTAATCATCTAAGCTACTGGTTCCTGTTAAATATTTAATCAACCTCGTATATGTATTATTGAATTCAATTTGAGTCAATTCTGCTACAATCATATAGAAAATGTGAGCTCTAATTGAATTCAACATTAATACTATATTTGCTCTAAAACAGACACGGACCATTTGTTCGAACTGATGTTAAACGCGAACTATTATATTTACTTTTTACTAGAATAATAATATACGTTTCCGTTCCATGTCTAAAGCTTGACTCAGGTGAATTAAGCTCAATTTCTTTTCTCTATCTATTTGAAAAAAATTTTTAGTAAAATTAATTTCATAAAC